CACAGCCTGGAGCAGCGTGTGTCTGCGCTTCCCCCACTGTGTTCCACTAACCCCAGTGCCCTGCTGAGGCAGTCGCAGTCAGCCAACTGGGTCTGCTTTCTGGCTGGCTTTGTTCCCGTGGAATATTGTCTCCTTGCTGCGTATCCTTCTGCCACGCAGAGCTGGCTCCGGTGTCCTTGCGGAAGAGTTGGTGGGTTTTAAAAATCCCATTGCTCATTCTGGACTGACAGCTGCCAGCGGCCGTGTCACCCTCAGCCCCCTCTGTCCATTCATGGCTGCAGCTCGGCGGGGCTCTGACAAACACTGGCAGTGTTTTGGGCAGCTGCTGGGGCTGGAGCCAGGCTGGGGAAGGGGCCGGGGAGCCCCGAGCCCACCTGTTCCCCCACACAGGCACCCCTCTATCTCCAGGGCATTTTCGTCATGGCTGTGGTCAGATGACAGACTGAGCTGCTGCCTGTGTTCAGCTCAGGAGCTCTGGTTAATCTGATGGCCTCTTAATCTTTCTTTTTGTCCTTTCTGTTGCTGTTTGTCATCCCAGTGAGTTTCCTTTCCGAGTAAGTCGTGTCTGGGGAATCCAGCCGGGTGAAGCCCGTCCTGCTTCTTCCTTCCTGGCTGAGCAGCGAGTGCGCAGTGATCCCAGTGCCAGTTTGCTGGAGGGCCCCATCCTTTCCTGATCCCACTGTCCCTTCTGGATTTCATACTTCAGAGTGGGGATGCAGTCCTTCTCCAGAGGCTGTTGTAGCACACTGGGTGCATTTGCCAGTTAAATGTGTTACGTCAGGACACCTTTAAGAGCCTTTGCTGACATCCTTCTTGCGGCAGGGATCAGAGCGGGGAGTGAATCGTGCTCTCCTTGCACCCTCGCTTGGTTTGGGTCCTCCATGCCACTCTCCAGCTGGGAAATCCCTTGGCCCCTGTGGAATCTTCACACTCTTCATGGCTGTAGGTGGCTTGGATGTGTCTGGGGTCCCTGTGCTGCAGAGCTGTCGTGTTACCTTTTGTACTGCGCTCCCTGCACTCAGGGCAAGGACAGTGCCTTCCCCCTCTAGTGCACATGGGGACAAAGGGACAGAGTTTGGGGCTGTGCATGAAACTGGTGGCACAGCAAGGGTTTGGGTGAGCCCACCCTTCCCAGGCTACGGGCTCAGGATCCTCACAGGCATCATTTCCTGAGGATTGCTGGTGTTTCCTGCCTCAGTTTCCCCACCCTATAAAAGGGGAGACGGTGCTGACCTTCCAGCACAGCGCTGTGAGCTGTGCCCGGGCGTTTCAGCAGCAAGGGTGGGAGGATGCCGTCAAGGCTAAGCATCTTTAGTCCCCAGCTTGTGTTCGCTGTCTCGGAGTCCTGCTGCTCTGGGCTGCTGCTAATCTGTTTTGGGGCCTTAGAAAGCAACAAAGGCTTATCTGAGCCGCTTGCTGAAAATAGAAATGAGTGTCGGGAGGACGTCTCGGTGCGAGGCCCTGCCGACAGCCAGCTGGTGGAAACCTTCTCCGGGCTTTGCAGGGTGTGTGTCAAAGGCTGCCTTTGTTTCCTCCCAGCCCACACACTGACACTGCATTCCTCCCCTTGTTGCCAGATATTCGGGGAGGCTCTCGGTGTTTAATCTCCAGGAGAACCTTGGGGGATTGAAGCCTGAACTGTAAATCCTGGCTCTGCCCGCGCAGGGCACTGGGAGCTCCCGGCTGCCTCTGAGCCTCCCCATCAGCCCTCGGTATTGCCTGTAATTTCAGGCAGACGAGTGGGAGTTGGAGGAGCTGTAGGACTGGAGTGGCCCTTGCTGGGGGAGAGAAGGCACTGAGCCAAAACTCGCTGAATTCAAAGGCTTTTGGGCCAACTGGAGACCTGCATTGAATGGTGCTGCTCAGCCGGGGCTGGGTAATGGAAGGGGATCAATAGGCTGCAGCCAGCCACGGGGCATGTTGGCAGAGAGCTGCCTCTTGGGTCTCCTCCTGTCTGCTTGGAGCCAGCTGGGTTTCTGCAGGGCAGAAAGGAAGAGCATTTGGTTGCTTTCCTGCTCCCCTCTCTCTTCCTGCCCCGAGGCCAGCCTTTCTTCTCTGCGAGACCGGAGCAGGCGCTGGCCCTCGCCCTCCCAGCAGCAAGTGCAAGAGTGAAGCAAGACAGGGAGTGTCTGCTGGGCTGCAGCCGGTTCAGCCGCCCAGGCAGCTCGCATGACTGCTCCAGGCAGGGATCAGGCTTCCCTGCTCCACTAACCTCCGATCGTCCCTTGCTGCCATTCTGTGCCTTCTGCCCGTGGGTCACCTCTGTGTCACCTTGTCCTTCTGTCTGGGACCAGGGGAGGCAGTGGGTGGAGGCCACGCTTGCAGCTGGAGGCTTGGCAGCTTCTCAGAGGGGTTTAGGGGGAAATTTGTTTCTGGAAGTTTGTCCCTCTGGCTGGGGTGTTTTCTGGGTGAGGAAATGAGTACAGCCATTTCCAGTCCCTTCTCCCATCAGCCCAGTTTATCACAAGCTGGGAAACTGCTCCAGGGAGGGAGGTGCTGCGAGCTGAGCGCGTCCTCCCTGCGACACGAAGCAGAGCCTTTGCCATCGCATGGCACGGAGGGTGCTCGGTCCTCGGCACAGTGCAGAGCTGGGCTGGACAGAAAGTCTTTATGTGCCCCTCTGTGACCACGTGCCAGCTGCCAGCACCCTTGGGTGAGGGTCCCTGCTCTGATCCCTGTTTGTCTGCAGTTCTGCAGAGCCTCACAGCACCCACTGGCAAGCGTGCCAGGGCACAGGGGCACCCTGTGCTGAGTTTGGTTGTGTTGGCATATTGTGGGGAGCAGGGCGAAGAGCCTTCCTCCCTTTTCCTGGGTGAAAGGTGCTCTCATCTGAAAGGGCTCTGCTCGTGGGACACAGCCGAGCCGTGGGGATGGGACACTGAGCTGAGTTGGCTCTGACACTTGCAGCGCCTGGGTCTGTGGGCTGAGCTGTGGCTGTTGCTTTATGCAGCCTGGAGGGTGGATTTGGGCTGTGGCGCGGACGCGTGCTGCCGGGATCGCAGGTTGCCTTGGCTCTTTCCCAAGAATGCTCCCAAAGGGTTGGTTTGGGTGGCTTTTCTTTCTGCTCTGCTCTTAGCTGTCTAGCTGAGGGCCAGCATCTCTCAGCAGTGCTCCCTCAGGTTGTATATCCCAAACTTGAGATTGAAGACACATCTCAAAGCAGTGAGATGCTGCTGGTTGCACCCACCAGTGTCTCCAGGCACCTTGGTGCAGGACAGTGCCTGTTTTCCTCTGGGGCCACTGACCCACACGGATGTGTTTTGCTCCCCTCTTACCTGGCTGGCTCGGCAGAGTGTCAGGATTTTAAGGTGTGCATGAGCTGAGACCAATTGTGTGTGTTTAAGAGGCTCCATGAAGTTGCATGTTGCATCCAGAGAGATCTTTAGGTGTGATCCTTGTCCCTGAACAAGACTTGGTGCTATGCAGGAGACGGGTGTTTGGAGAGAGGCACACCTGAGTTTTTAGCTGCAGCAGCAGCAGATGAGCAGCCAGGCTTGGCTGGTGACACTGACACTGCTCTCTGATCACTCGATCAGGCTTTCCGTCCCTAACGGCAGGGTTATATCAGACCAGGAAAGCAGTCGTGAGCGGTTGGACTCACGGTTCATCTCCTTTGGGCAGGAACAAACACCAGAGAGAGGCAGTTTGGCCCTGGCAGGGGCAGGCATTGGCAAGGTTCCTGCTGCCTT